AGGGGGGAAAAACCCCCCCCCCCCCCCCCCCCACAATCTGCTGGCAATGCTCCTCCCGACGCAGCCCAGGATGCCGGTAGCCTTCTTGGCAGCAAGGGCACACTGCTCGCTCCTGTTCAGCTTCTTGTCCCCCGTCACCCCCAGGTCCTTTTCTGCAGAGCTGCTGCTTAGCCAGTCGGTCCCCAGCGTGTACCTCCCTAGCGCAGGACTTTGCACTTGTCCTTGTTGAACCTTATGAGACTTCTTTTGGCCCAATTCTCCAATTTGTTGAGGTCTCTCTGAATCCTAACCCTACCCTCCAGTGTATCTACTACTCCCCACAGCTTGGTGTCATCTTCAAACTTGCCGAGTGAGCACTCCATCCCACCTTACAAATTGTTGATGAAGACATTGAACAAAACCAGCTCAAGGACCAACCCCTGGGCACTCCACTTGATACCAAGCTGCCAACTAGACATCAAGCCACCAATTACTACCCTTTGAGCCCAACAACCCAGCCAGTTTTCTACGCACCTTACAGTTCATTCATCCAACCCATACTTCCTTAGCTTGCTTGTGAGAATGTTGTGGGAGACTGTATTAAAAGCCTTGCTAAAGTCGAGGTATATTATGTATGTCCACTGCTTTCCCCACAGCCACAGAGCCAGTCATCTCATCACAGAGAGCAATCAGGTTGGTCCATCATGACTTGCCCTTGGTGAATCCATGCTGGCTGTTCCTAATCAACTTATCTTCCAAGTGCTTAGAAATAGATTCCTTGAGGACCTGCTTCATGATTTCTCTAGGGACTGAGGTAAGGCTGACTGATCTGTAGTTTCCCAAATCCTCCTCCTTCCCTTTCTTAAAGCTGGGCACTAGGTCTGCCCTCTGCAATTGTATTGTCTTGTATTGCTAGGCTTTAATTCTTCATCTCTTAAAATACCACTCACCCTACTTGCCCCATTTAAACGTTGCCACAATATTATTACTCTTCCTTCCCTCTGAAATGCCCTTTGTATTCCAAAACATTATTAATGTTCTCTGTCACTGGGCCAGAGACCTTCTTAGCAGCTCATTCGCACATTTCTTGGGCTACCAATTTAAAAATTCTTCATCTTAGTAGATGATGTTTTGAATCCTCCTTAGTAACCGGAGTAATGCACTGGAGCTTACTTCTTCAGGTATATGCTATAAGAGCATGCCATCCCACATCTTTCAACATTTGTAACAAGCATTTATGGAACATTAAACCTTTCCTGCATCAGTTTTACTGTCTAGCACCAAGGCTTTTTTTGTTCTTAGGCTTGTCATATTTAAACAAAAAAAAAAAAAAAAA